AGACGGACTAGCGGACGGACAGGCAGATACAGATGTGGACAGATCAGTGGATAGACAGATCTACGCAGATAATCCCACAGGGGGGGAGTGCTTTGCGCCCCAAGAACCACTGTGGCATCGTTGGCACCCGCCGCGGGCCAGTTAGAATAACCAATTTCCTTTGGCCGTCCAGCTGGCACCTACCGCTGCAGCGCCGGCTCGACGGCTGGCCCTTGGAGGCTCAGGCTCGCTGGCCGCTGCCGCTCCGCAGGACCCGACCTCGACGGCGATTTCAGGTGCATGTTCTACTTGCGGGAGGACCAGGCGCAGGATCCCGCCCGAAGCGGAAAGTCAGAGGTTCAGACGCAGACACACAGACGAACACGCTCAGGGCGTGCAAAAGCCACACACATCCAAAAACAAGAGGCAGAGAGAAGAACAGAGCCGAGAAGAACGAAGAAGGAGGCCGCACACGCCCACGACCGATCCCCTGACAGATCGCGGGAGAGCGGACAAGGTCTCCATTAGCGGACGAGAGACACGCCCTCGACGCCTGCCCGATAGCGGCGGTTGGCCTTAGGACAGGAAGGGAGAAGGGAGAGGGGGACGGGAGGGGAGGGGAGGAGAGGGGGAGAGAGGACAGGAAGGGAGAAGGGAGAGGGAGACGGGAGGGGGAGTGAGGACAGGAAGGGAGGATAGGGAGAGGGGAAGGTGAAGGGGAAAGGATGGGAGAGAGAGAAGAGGGGAGGTGAAGAAGAGGTGGGGGAAGTTGTACTTTTGTTCCATTCCAGACGAGGTAAGAACACTTAAGCTAAAGCGAAGGAAAAGGGGCTCCGAATACTTGTTTTCAACTCTTCCTGTTCCTTCAAAAAGATTCAAGTTACTATCTACTGTTGTCCTTGGCATTGCAGTTCGCCTTCGCGCAGACACATCCAGAGTGCCCTATCAAGAGAGCAGTTTTCATCACGCACATTGCTCCTGCATCGACTGTCCCTCGCACTGACCGCCCCCCCCCCCTCCCCAGGTCTTCTACGCCGACACGAGCTCGTTCATGGTGGCGTCCGAGTCGTCGCTGGACGACCTGAACGGCCGCCTGGCGGAGCCCGTGTCCATGGGGTGGTTCCGGCCCAACGTGGTGGTCCGCGGCGCCAAGCCCTTCGACGAGGACGACTGGGCCTTCCTCAAGATCGGCGACGTCGTCCTCAGGAGGGTCAAGCCCTGCGAGAGGTAAGGAGGGGGAGGGGGAGAGTGGGAAGAAAGGGAGGAAGAGGGAAGGGGGAGGAGGACGAGGCCGCTTGTCTCCTCCTCGAGATCGGAGACGAGAAGGCAAATCCCTGCGAGGCGTGAGGAAAGGAAGGAGGGAAAAGGGGGAGACGGGGAGAAGAAAGGAGGAAGAGGAGGAAAAGGAGAAAGGCCGGGAGGGAGAGGTGGAGGAACGACAAGGAGGAGGAGGGAAAAAAAATGATGAAGATGGATAGAAGGACGACGAAGAGGGAGGAAAAGGAGAAAGGAAGAAATGGGAAGGAGAGAGGCAAACCATAAAAAAGAGAATAGTGAAAAAATACGAAGGGAAAAGGGATAAGAGAAAGGGAGTTTCCTTCCTCTGTTCGCCAGCGGCTTCATTGTTCTCTTTCCTCCCAGGTGTCTGCTGACGACGATCGACCCTTCGACGGGGCGGCGGAGCCCTCGCAAGGAGCCCCTCAACACGCTGCAGCAGTGAGCCTTCTCCTCATGCCGTTTCCCCTCAATGGCTCTCATCCTCTCCGGTTCATCTTCGTCATTTTTCTTGCTTATCTTTGTCATTTTTCTCGCTCATCTTCGTCATTCCCCTGTTTAGCTCTGTCACTTTCCTGAATCATATTCCATCTTAGTGTTCTCCGTTTTTATCTTTGGATTTTTGGTTTGTTTATCTTTGTCGTTTTCCTTCTTCAGCTTTGTCATTTTCATTGTTTATATCCTTTCTTATTTGTCTTCATCATTTTAATTTTTCATCTTGGTTCGTGTGTCATTTTTGTTTTATAGTATTATTTGTTCTATAGAGTTTTATACTTCAGTCTTCGCTGATAAAGCAAAACAATTCCGTTTTCCTTGATAAGCTTAGCATCTCTACATAAAAGGCCCTAGAATGAACCGTTACCATAATGCCACCAGCCCAGAGGCACTCACGCCCACCCTCTTGCAGGTACCGCACGCCCAAGCACCCGCCCCGCCTGTCGAAGATCTGGTCGAAGAAGCCCGTGTTCGGCGTGAACATGGCCACGGACTCCGAGGGCGCCGTGTCCGTGGGCGACCGGGTCATGATAGCGCGAGCCAGCAAGCATCCCGAGTACGCGATCTGAGGGCGCCATCTGCCGTAAGGACGTCGATCCCGCCCGACGCCGTATCAGAGTGGACCATCCTGATGGGGAGATACGACGGCGGCCCGGGCGTTGTTCGCCAGGCGCGAGGGGAGGGGGCGGGGGGGAGGGCTTATCGTCGACAGCTGTTGACGGTTATCGGCCCAAGTCCTTCCATTTTTGTTCTGTAATACTTTCCATTATGTCTAAAGTCGACCATTACAACTGTTCTGCAACGCTTTTTACTGTGGCTTTGTTTAAATATGGTGTTCATCATTTCCGACGCTCGGCTCATAACTATTGTTCTGCAACTTTTTATTCAACTTTTATCAATGTGTTCTCTTTGTTTATGCTGTAATTTTCCTTCTTTATATCTTAAACTTACCTTATCGTTATGTTTGCCTTAGCTGATTGAAGGTCCGTTAATGCGATTAATATTACCATCAATATCATTCTTTTACTATCATTCCTATTAAAAGAATCGATTCCTTTATGATAAGTATGGTTACAATCACAATTACTATTGTTGCTATGATTACTACTATCATTAATAGTAGTATCATTAATAGTAGTAAGCATTATTATTATTAATATCATTATTATTATTATTATTATTATTATTATTATTATTATTATTATTATTATTGTTATTATTATTATTATCATCATCATAATCATTACTATTGTTATTATTATTATCGTTATTAATATTGTTATTATCATATCATAATTGTTGTTATATTGTTATCATAATCATTATTATTGATAAAATTATCTTTATTTTCGTTATTTTTATCTCTCTCTCTCTCTTTCTGCCCCCCTCTCTTTTTCTCCCCCCATTTCTCTCTCTCTCTCTCTCTCTCTCTCTCTCTCTCTCTCTCTCTCTCTCTCTCTCTCTCTCTCTCTCTCTCTCTCTCTCTCTCTCTCTCTCTCTCTCTCTCTTTCTGCCCCCCTCTCTTTTTCTCCCCCCATTTCTCTCTCTCTCTCTCTCTCTCTCTCTCTCTCTCTCTCTCTCTCTCTCTCTCTCTCTCTCTCTCTCTCTCTCTCTCTCTCTTTCTCTCTCTCTCTCTCTCTCTCTCTCTCTCTCTCTCTCTCTCTCTCTCTCTCTCTCTCTCTCTCTCTCTCTCTCTCTCTCTCTCTATCCCCTCCGCCTTCTCTATCTTTTTCTCCCCCATTTCTCTTCCTCTCTCTCTCTCCCTCCCTCTGTTTCACTATCCTTTCCCCCT